TAAGCATTATACTTTTGCAGGTATAAAAAGTGTTTCATAATTTTGTTCAGTGGTTTAGTTCCATTCCTACCGAAAGTGCTTATGTACATTAGAAGATAAATTATCTGCAGAAGTCCACTAAATTCTTTGGAGTTAAATTAGCAAGGAATTTAACTTCAAATATTCACTTTCAGTATTTCTCAAATCCAGTTAAGTCTCTCAATTTTCATTTCATTACATGAATATCTACCACTTGGACTTTAGCTATGACTTTCCTTTTTTCTACACATATATTTTTTCTGTGGATGTTCACAAGCTGATGACTAAGGTCTATGAGCAATACATGAAAATGATAGCATAAACTTAACTTGGGTTCATTTTTCATGCATTCCTATTGTAGAGCACTTAGCCTTCAAATTGTTATTTCTGTTATGCCATTGTAGAATAATTTCCTCTCCTCCTATCCAGACATAATAAAGAATACTTGGATAAAAAAAATCAAGTGGAAATTCCAATTTTGCATGGGAAAAAAAAAAAAAGAAAGTAATACGTATTTTCTAAACTGGACATGCCTTGAGTAGGACAAAAATAATTTATGCTTGTGATAAATTAAGCAATCATGTATCCCACGGTAAGTGAAGGAAGTAACATGAAAAGAAGCTTACCAGAAGTCTAAAGCCCAGAGCAGTAAAACTTGCAGATATATAACTTATTTAATCTTCCCTGCTTCATGCTGGACTTAGGACTGTTCCTCCAAACGGAAGGCGTGGGAGAGTCATTTGATTTGAAGGAAAGAAGGGGATGATGGGGTGAGAAACAGTTCTGATGTCTTATTAACTCAGTAAATCAATGCACAGGATCCTCTTATATCACTTCTGGTACTCCCGAGTTAAATAGAAATACAGCTCATCATTTTCCTTTTGAGCCTTACATATAGTATTTAGGCAAAGACTTTGTAACAATATAACAATAGTTAGGCATATTGGATTGATATTGTGGAGCTAATACTTTTTAACTCACTCCCTAGCATCTTCGTAATGTCAAAAAAAAAGTGGAAAAATGCCCAAATAATAATATACTTCATAATAATAGTGCACAGAGGCTAGCTACAAGGCATCCCTTGCTCACATGTGAGCAGTACTAAATTTTATATATCACTTGCAGCTTAAAAGAGTCATGGACTCATAATTCTTCCAATCAATAATACTTTAACATGAAATGCTGGCAAAAGCTATTTGATTTCCTTACTAAGATGATACTAGACTATCTTTTACATATCACTCTGTAAAGTTTTACTTAGAAATACTTTGGTCTATGAGAACTGGAAAGGGTAGTCAAGAAAAAGCAGAGGTCTCTTTGGAAACTTCTGATTTCTGAACTTGCCAAGGGACTTGTCATCTGACACAGAATAAATAAAGATGGTTGCAGAAAGGCCCTTAGGAAGAGTCAGAATGGCTTCTGTATGAGGAAGTTCTACTTTCAACCGTACTCAACTGTTCTGAAAAAGGTGAATAACACATACCTAAGGGTAATTCAGTTGATACGCCTGAATTTCCAAAAGTTCTGTCACAACCTACCTCACTAAAGGTTACCGGGGAGAGTAAGTAGCCACGGTATAGAGAAGGTAAATGTTTGAAATATAACTGTTTTAAAGACAAGGAACTGAATTTAAGTGCTCAGAAGGGAAAAGTCTAACCAGTGGAATTCTGCAGTGATATGAGTTTGGAGATGTTCTGCTCAACCCATTTATAGTGGCCTAAAAAAGAAAGTGAGCAGTAAGATGAGAACATTTTTCAATGATGTTAATCTCTTCCAGATAAATGAATCTTAAAAATTAAATGGTTGGAAAATGAAACTGCCCATTAAAGACAGTGTGATGGACTTCCCAAAGAATCCAAACATTTTCTGTAGGAAATGGTTGCCTCTGCTTTACCATTTTCACTCAAAAAAACTTGGCAGTGTAATGAATTCTTCCTTGAAAATGTAAGTTTCAGCAAGTAGAAATAATAATTTAAAAAAAAAAGGCAAGTGAAATAGGGGGAATCATTACGAAAAGACTGGAAACACAACAGAGGACTTCACTGTGACAGTTTTTATTTATTTTTGTTCACCTTTTGAATACTAAGTGCAGCTCTTGTGTTTTCTTTCAAAAATTTCTTTATAGAACAGGAAGATAAGCAGAAAAAATTGAAGATGCTCAGAATTATGGAATGGTTTTGTAGTAATCTAGGATATTGCAACTGGTAGACAGCTAAGGACATTTATAATAGAGGGCTACAAAACTGTAAATGAAGCAAACAGAAAAAAACAAAAACTGCTGTCTCCTTGGGCAACATAAATCATGATGTTGCCCAGGTGAAGGTAGGAGGAGCTGAATCTACACAATGGGAAGTTGTTTTCTTGCTCCTCTGTAGCCAGACACTGATCAGGGTACATGCTGATTGCTGGCATGGGTTTAAATAGAGGCTGAACTGAGAAGGAGAATTGAAATCCTGTGAAGCTTTCTAAGTATACAAACCCCTCATCTGGCCTAGAAAGTCCAACACATGCATTTTGCTAGAGACATGAAAGATATCTGTGGAAAATATTGTATTTGATTGCCTTATTCTTACTCTTTTCCATACCTTAGTTATGGCTATTGCACAGGAACACAAATTTAACTGGATAGAGACTTGTTTAATCCCTTAATATTAGAAATATTGCGCAATTGCAATATTGACCTGAGAGGCCATTGTCATATCTTAGAAAGTGCCATAAGTCATCAAAGACCTCCAAAGCAACCCCAGAAGCATTTCAGAGACCTTCCACCAGAGGACTGCATGTGATCCACACTGTTACACCAGAAAGTGTAAAACTACCCCCCAACAAGTGGAGATATCTGGGTGTTACCACCTAGCCTGAGTGTATTTTAGCCCATTGAACTGTATGTTTCACAAACTTCCCCCCACCCCCAATAGATCAAGACTGCGACCATCACTTCGACCACCTTCAGATATCTAAATTGAAACAGTGAAGTCTTGCTGCTGGATCTATCTTTCTACTTTTATCTTTTCTCTTTATCTCATTCTTTCTTCTAACTTCTTCTTGGAATATACTATAAGCAAGATTAAAAAAAATCAGTCAGTGCCTTAGTAAGTGCTCTGTTGTGTCTGGATAAGTTAAAAGTGGATAAGTTAAAAGTTTGGTAAGTTAAAGTTTTTGAAGTGCCTTACTTTTGATGTTGTTTTAAAATTTGCCAGGTCCCTTATTCTACCTTAATATTCTAAAGTTTCCAAGTAGAAGTTATGTTATTGAAGCTCCTGAGAATTTTGCTGGTTCTTCTGCTCATTGTCCAGAATGAATCAAACCTTCCCCTAAGTCTGCCACATGGACCAAGGCAAAACACAAAGTCACACAAAAAATTGAATTTTCAGTAAACTTTGTTTCTGTGGCCTGATCCAAATCTGCTTATTTTATTTTAATTTCTTATCTTTAACAATGAAAATATTGAAATAAATATATCACTATAAATGAGTTAATAGAAATTAGTGTCTTCCTTTCGTGATTGGAAAGCATCTACCAGCAAGGATCATAGGTTGTAGGCTGAAGCTTTGAACATTATTGCAATAGATCAGTATTTAAGAACTTCATATATTTGTATGTGTAAATTTCTCAGAAAAATTTAATGGCAGCATTTTACCACATAGGGCAAAGTAGCAGTGTATTTTAGAGATTTTAACATTTAATTGTTATCATGAACTATGACTAAACAATTGGGGGTAGGTGGGGGGCTTGTTAGTTTTTTTAAACAAATTCTTTATTTTAAATTCTTCCCAGTCATACGATATTTCCATATCTAGGCACAGGCTCTAGAATGGGAATATTTTTCCTTTTTTTATATATATAATTAATATTTTCAAGTGAAAAACTCTTTTTCCTTCTGATAAATCAGAAAGTTTTCTTTTCATGTTTCTGTGAGCTTGATTAAAATAAAATTAAACAAAAAGATAACCAGCCTTCCCATATCCCCAGATTCCCATCATGAATCTATAAAATATAAACTTTCAGTATCCTTCTAAGGTACTGGAATACAAAATGAGATGCTACATATAGTAGTCACATAACTGGAAATTTATTTTCCTTCAGTATTTCAGTTGCATTAAGAATAAAAATACGTTGTGTGGAATTCTATGCAAACTGAAGGTATAAAATAATGTCCATTAAGAAAATATTAAAATTCTAAATGCTAAGTATCTCTTCTCTATCGCTTCTTTCTTTGCTTGATATCTTAGTGGGTTTGTCACACTATAATAAATAATGGCCAGTCTTCGCGAGCGAAGATTTGGGAAAGGTCATTAACCCTTCGAGCCTGCGCAGTGGATTTTTTAGGTGAGACACAGCGTGTGCTGAACTGAGCCCACCCTTTAATCCTGAGGTTCATCTGCCGGGGCCAAGCAAGCTTGGACAGTGGCAGTGATGGTCTCAGGACGTAGGTTTGTTTAGAGTGACCTTCTCTTAGATGGATTGCCTTACAGGGCTAATGAGCTCCATCTGCCCGGGGGGCTGGGAATCGAACCCGGGTCGCAGCGGTGAGAGTCCTGCACCCTAACCACTAGACCACCAGAGGCCCCAACTTGTCACACTGGACCCACATTAAACCCACAATATTACTCATGTTTATCTCGGGTAAGGACGATTCTGTTCATGCTTTATTATGTAAGGGAGGTGTGGCAGTTTGAGCCACATTAGAAATCCAAAATCCAATTTCCAGGCTTCCCCACCCCTTCCCACAATTTATCCTAACACCGAAGAGAAAACTTTCAGGTCAGAGGCTTCTATAGGGGAAGGGGGAAGTATTTACATTTATTTACAGAAATAAATATACTGTACAAACTAAAAGCAACTATATATATATTATTACACTTCTGTCAGTCCCTTCGAAGCTTCTCCTTTTAACTTTAGTCCAGGAAAAGCCTTTTCAGGCTGATAAGTAACCAATATCTCATGGGAGTGTTCGGGGCCCCTGAACACGCCCTACCAACCTTCAGCTGTTTGTGGAAGTCCTTCCTTCCTCACGAAGTCCAAGAAGGTAGCTCTGAGTCCTTTCTCCTTGGTCCTCTGTCATTTCTGCTGTGATCTCTCCCTCTCAGTCTCATACCTCGGTTCTGTAGGCTGCTGTAGAGTAGCTTATCAACATACGCATCCTTCAAGTCAGTTTTCAGCTGCCCCCGGTCAAACCTTGGCACGGCAACTCCCGAGCCCTTCTCTTGTGGCCCGTCTCCAATTTCACCTGGGACTCCTTTCCCTGGCTCCAAGCTGTTTCGTTATCAACCCGTCCACTTTGGCTCTGCTCCAATGTTGAGCCTTGCATCCACTCCCACTAAACAGCGAGAGGGAAAAACAGCCCCCTTCTGCAGCCTGGCTGCAAAGGGGGGAAAGAAAAGAAGAGGGCCTGGCCACAAGGCCTGCCTCTCTCTCTCTCTTGCTTACCATTTGTTTGTGAGTCGCGTCCCTCACAAACATACGCTCACTCCAATGCTGTCTCTAACTCTGGCCTAGGCAGAGTTGGGGAGGCCACAGGGCTCCCCTCTCCCCGCTGGAGGGGGGAAGGAGCCCAGCCACCCCCTGGCCTTCTACACCCACACACAGCAGACACCAACAGAGAAACTGCCCACAGCTTCCGGTGCTGTGTATATGGGATTTTGAGCGGAAGCGAACAAGACGAGTGGTGACTGGCTCTCCAGGGAACACTGTCCTGGCACCCAATCACCTCTGAGCCCCCGACTGTCAGGGGGGGCCAATCTTAACCCATGACAGGAGGAAAGGTACTCTCCCATCAGAAATTCAACACACAGTTGTTAACTGCAGGAAATAGAAAGAACTCATAACATATCCTAATGAATACTCTGTTCATTTCTTTAAAATATCTATTAATACCACAGTGTCATAGTGTAACCTGAAACAGCTTTCACATGACTTCTGATAGTTTAAATACAAAGCAAATAATTTCAAAATTGAATCTTTATTAAAAAAAAACCTAAAATGTTCATATGTCTTTACTTGATTTTTTTAACCATTTTACTATAGTCTTCAGAAATTAAGCAACTAGCTTTCAGTATTCAAAGACATTTCTACTAATGGTTTCTTCTCTAGAATATTTAACTTTTTCTATCTCCTTTTGGCAATGTCTCTTATTATTAATTTTTCTTTAAACCAAATAAACTCTCAGAGCTTTTGTTCCTATTTATATCCTTGCTTTTCATTATTCAGAGCATAGTTGTTAAATCCAATGGTTTCTTTAGTTTACTTTGAAGTTTCTTACACTGGGAATAGGTGATATATGCCAGAGTCCTTGTCAGTCTTTGGCTAACCCTCTACACATTGTGGCAATTTTTATGAAATTAACACAAATTAAGAAATTACACATAGAGTCGTGAAGTCGTGAAGGATGATAGGAAAGGAGAAAGCAAAAAATATCTTCATTTACAGCACTAAACTCAGAATTCTCGAAAAGTTTTTAAATGAATATTTATCATCTGAAAACATTTGTTAAAGAAAGTCACTAGCATTTATATTCCTAAATCTCTTTTGGAAATGGATCTATTTGCCTAGATCACTTCTGAAATCTGCTTTTAATTCTGATGCTGACAGCCTGCAGAAAAGGTATGAATGAACCCTAACCGCACAAAATCTTATCTCATAGTAAGTGAAAGAGAGGAAGTGGATGGAGTGATAGCACTTAAATGCACTTTCCTGACAAGAACCAATGTGTTCCTGAAATAAGTACTTCAGCTTTCCTCCACAGACAGAAACTTGCTCACTTACTATCTTGAAAGGCTTTTTAGAAAAGAAAGGTCAGAAAAAGAAAACAAACAAACAAACACAAAAAGTCCGAAGGTCACCAAGATCATGGAAGGATTTAATTTTTTATTTGAGCATATTGAAAGAAAAATCCTTGGGAAATCATAATTCCACATCCTCCTCCCTGTTTTCTCCACACTATCTTGTCCTGTCCTGTAAATAAGAACAAAGGATAGCACTGCATTCTCCACAGTACTAAACCTCATGGTTGCAATGATGGGTCACTGGGAGAGCTGTGAGCCTCCTCACAATTCATTGTGCTAATCCACATTAGTCCCGTGGAGAGACAGTTTCCCACTGTCTTGGTCCATAACACTCCATGTCTGTAGCTTGCTTTCCTTGGGTACATTTCAAGATCTCTCTGAATAGTCTTTCTATCATTTCCTTAGACAATGTCCTTTTTCCCCTCATAATTTTCTTCAGGATATTTTTCCTGGGTCTTTTTTCCAATAAGCATGTGGGGCTTTGGTAGGCTTTTTTTATATCAATATTTTTTATGTCCTTGGTTCGGTCTCCTCGTTTTTCTTAGATTTTTGTTAAAGTAAGCAAATACAATGTTTAAGGAACTGAATTTAGTGTAAAATCCAGCATTATGGGATTATTATTATTTTAATCAGTCTTCCTGCTACTCAAAGAATATTTACAACTGCTGTAATAGTTAAAAGTTGTGAAACATAAAAGTGGCACATTTTACATATAACAAACACAAAATCTGTACTTTTTTTCTTTCTAGTCATTACACATTATCTATTAAAATAGATGTCAGACTTGACATTTGTAGCACTACTAAGAAGCTTATGTCCCTGTGAGTTCTTCCTACTGTCAGCAATACCTAGTTAACCATTCATAAACAAAAATAATTTTTTTCTACATTAAATTTTTTTTCTGTTTTGTAAGTGAATATTAACATTACTGGAGTTAGGCATATGCTCTTTTGAGATAGGAAATATCAGACTTGATTTAATACTATCTTTTCCAAATACTTCACCATAGGCAAGTTTGTTGAATTTTGGTATATGTAGAAAATTTTGGATTGTTTTTTGTGATGCAGTCACGGACTACTACAAATTACTATATCCTCACAAATTTTCTTTGTTTATAATGAAACCCCTATAAACATAAATTTTACCTTTTGACCTATGTTGCTGTGGGGGTTTTTTGTGGTGGTTGGTTTTGTTGTTGATGTTTGGGTTTGGTTTAATTTTGGTGCCTTTTTTGGGGGGGGGGGTAGGTTGAGGGTTTGGTTTTGGGTTTTTTTTTCTGTATTTCAGTAGAGTTATCAGTCTCACACTAAAACAAGAGTGCTTCATAGAATTTTATAGGATTTGCTCCCAGATATTTCATATTTAGGTTTCCTAAAAGACTGTGGCTCAAAGACAGGGTGGGGAAAGGACAAAGAAAGAGGTCTAACCACATCCATGAATTAGGTATTGAATGTTAGGAAAATATGAGAGTTGCAGTCTCATAGGTTTGCACCAATAAGTAGGGCAGATACAAGACTGTCAAATGTACACTGGATAGAATTACGTTTACTCCCTGTCCTCATCTTACACCCTTATTCCAATTACTTGTTTCCTTTTGCACTTAGAAAAACAAACTTGTATTAAGCTATTGTTTTGTTTTCCTCAGGGCTGCTCTCGAGTCATATTTGCATTAATATCTACATAGACAAATGGGAGGAAAACACAGAAGATAATACTGCAACTTTGAATAGAGGTGTTAGGGAAAGTAGGACAAGAATCGTAATGCATATGTGCACACACCTCTCTGTGTTAGAAAAGAACTGTAAATGTAGGCGTATTTTATTCAGGGAAGTTTGAAATAGCCTTTAAAGAAAAGACTATTAACTGGAGAACAATACTTGTATAACCGTGGTATTAATATGTTTATTGCTTTAAATTAGAAGAAAATTGCTAAAAAAATCAAGTACTGGTGCCATATGCCTCATTTGTCCCCATTCGTATTTACATAATGTCTCTGTTGGAGATCTCAAATGCACTATGACTTCAAATAAGTTTATGTTAATAAAGAGTTGCAAAAGGTTTCAACATTACGCATGTGTAATTAGCTATCTCCCATTTTACAAAACAAGTGAAAGTGAACCAGATTCAAATTAAAGAGGATTTATTAGGTTCTTGTAAGAACATGATTAATGGGTAGCTTATGCTGACCCTAAGGCTTGATGAGAGATACAACACAGAATAGAAATCAGGATAATCCTATAATAATGACACAGTAGTAACGATAAACAATGGGTATGAACTGACATTGGCTGAGAGTATATCATGCTTTAAATATATACTTTTGAGAAGGAGGGATTTCTAACAATGCCTACTTAAAAATGACTATTCAGTGCCTTATTAATGATAAAAAGACAACCCAAGTTAATCTCACTACACAACAGAAAAAAATCATGTAAAAGAAAGAATAAAATTGTCTAGTAGAATGAAAACTAATGTTGGAAAGGGAGAGCAGACAGATATTTGTACTACAAAAATACTGTGAAAAGCAGAACTTGGTGTTAGACAATTCAAAGCAGAGTGATGTATTTGGGGTACACCTGGCAGGTGTAATTCTCTCACTTTTAGTTTAGAACCACTTAGTATCTTTTGCGTAGATAGGTAATTATCAAATAGAAGTGCTACATCATATCCTATCTAGTGGTGGTCATCTAAGGAGATTACAACAGGAAAAAAATGTGCAAAACTGGAAAGTGATGTAAAATTTGAATTCATCAGATATACAGTGAAGTACAGAGTAAAAGAGAGATCTGTGCATTTCTTTCTTTTATTTTAAGAAAATAGACAAGTTAAGACCATTTTGACATGGACAGTGTAAAGCAATACTGAAATCTAACACAAGCTATAACAGGACAGCATTGACTTACTAAATTGTCAATTAAACTTTGGTAAGGAAAGTCAGAGCTATAGCACCGTGCTGACATGATTTGCAATCAGTTTTCTTGAATATGTAACATGATAATTCAATTGGATCAGCCAGTGTTCAGCATTGAGCCAGCCCACAGCTTGAGTTTACACTCTTCAAGTCTATTCAAGAAATGTCTACTCATATGTACTCTGTGCACAGATATAGAGACAAGGCAAACACTGAATGTAATGTATGTAAACTACTACATTTCTGCCACAGAGTGAATAAGATAGTTTCTTGTTCTGGGAATCCAGCTATTTGGTTAATACAGTATTTTTAACATCTACAAACATAATGAAACTTACTGATGAAAATAAATCTTTTGCCCAAAAGTCATATTTAAAAAGAAAAAGTAAGATCCATTATTTCATTAAAATATAACTACTCCGGTTTAATGAAAATTGTAATATCTTCCTTTTGCAATTCACTAAGACACTGATTATCATTTCTCTCTATGAAAGGGATGGTTACATTAGAAATGAGAACTAACCTCGCATTCTACTAGGACATCATGGAGATGCAGTAGTGCTGAGAACACCTGCTTGGTAAACAGTAGCTGTGCTTGGGGGAAAAATATCTTAAATATATACAGAGTTTGCTCATAAATATCCTTCAGAAGCAATAATGTCCAAGGTTAGCAGACAAATCTTTAGCATACTTAATATTACTTTCTTCTGGGCAACTTACCTGTAGTGGGTCACAAGAAAGCAACCCTCCAGGGAGCAAGAAGGAACATTTTCTTCATTTTTGTCAATGATAAAATTACCTCATTTGTAGTAGCCATTGTTGGAACAGAATTGTGAGGTTAACATATTTCAGCACATGAATACCAAGTTTACATTTCCAACA